ACAATAAAAACTGTTTGAAACGAAACTATTATTATTTAACGATGATTTTCTTTAAAATGTTGCATTATGCGTTTTAATGAACCTATTATTCATAAAAAAGAAAACAATTTTTGAAGTTTTGTGAAGTAAATGGACTTGCGCAAATTTCACTCGTTGAATCAACTCGTCGGATGGACTTGGGCTCTTTTCATTTTTTGATTGTGCAGTACTAGATTTATTTATATAGGTACTTGTACGACGAGAATTTATAAAAAACGATGGAGACAAGAAATAACAAAAATTATTTGTTATAATTATGTATTTATTTTAAATAATCGTTGTAATAACAAATAAAAGCTATTTTTTGTGCAAATGTATTTAAAGTATAATAATTGTTTTGAACAAACATAGAAATAAACATAATCTATTTATTCATGTTCGAGGGAATCATAAAGCGTATGGTAATCTTGTTCCATGGTGCTTTCTAAAGATTGAAGGTGCTCAAATTTTCAGTTTTATTTTTAACGTGTTACAATATAGCCCTGGAAGATTTGCTATTGTTGTGGATTTAAGTTTGTGTCGCAATTTAAATTCGATCGATCCATCGGGTTTATATTTTAGGGCCCTTATGTCTTGAACAGTGGGGTCGCCTACTTTATGCCCAGGACGAATTGATTTAAAAAATTAAGCTTAGAAAAATTTTTAAAATAACCATGTGACAAGTATTCAACCACATACGGTCTTGGTGTTTTTCTAGCAGCTTTGGCGTAATGGACATAGTCAGCTGGTACATTTATAATTCTACCAGAAATTTTCCTTTCAATAGAGGAATGCATTGAATCGCAGTCTATTGGGTATGGCCTTTTTCTAAGTACTTCTGAATAATGCAGACATTATACTGAAGTGCAAAATTTAAAAGTGCATTCGCCAAAATGGAGTTGCGATTTGTGCCGCGCAGCCGTCACTGTAAAGTATTATAGTAGGTTTATTATCTGAATCAATGGTTGGTAATACTTTTTTACTTGAAAAAGTTATGAACAATTCACTTGGTTTTGTAATACAATGCCGAAACATAAGACTTGGGGCAGAGGACTACCGATTGTAAGTCCACTGTGAAAACTTTATTAGATGATCTTTTATCATTTTCTTTTTCATGTCGAGCTCCTTTCTTCTTCGAAACATGCTCTTTAGACTTCTTCGGTAAGGTTTTTTGTTTTGTAGGCTGCGCAGACATCACACTCGTCCTACTTTGGTGGAAAAAGTGATAAGTTCATTTCGTCAAAAATATATTTAAACGTGGTCATACTGGTTGGATCAATGTTTCTTTCCTTGCACCAGGAATCTTTGTAAAGAGCGTAAAGCTCAGATTTGTTTCTCCATCGGGGTTCCAAATATAATTTAGTGGTTGATTTGCGGCAATAGTGTGACTCTAATTTAGGCAGAAAGTCGAAAAATTCTGTTACTGGTGCTTTTCTTTCCATTCTTTTTTTACGTTTAAATTCTGTAGGTTCTTTAGGATATACAGGTTCTTAAATGTGTTTTTTTCTGGGTACAAGAGCCCTTTGCGAATCCAGAGTGTACTAGTTTTCCTAATGTGTTACAGATATAGTTTTACACACCCTAACGCTATCTTCATTTTTCATATCAATAAAAAAATTGCAAGATGCAGTTCCTCGACTTATTTCATCATTTCTCCTGTTTCTCGCTCTTTTAGTTTTAGTTGTAGTCGTTCTCCCTAAAACGTAGACCTGCTTTTCTTTCCAAGAGAAACTCCAGAATTTTTAAAAAATGTTTTGTCTTTCCTCTCATTAATTTTATAACACTGAAAAGATTTTCTTTCAATTGAGCATTAACATCGATTTTTATTCCCTTTCCACTTTTTTCACCACAAATTTGTTGTATTCCTTCCGAAATAGATCTCTCCTTTTTCCCTTTTTTTTTTCGTATTATATTCCCAGTCGCTTTGTCGCTCAGTCTGTTATTTTTTCTTTTTTGTTTTTTATTTGTTGGATTATAACTCTCTTCCTCCTCTGAATCTAATTCTGAAATATTTTGGCCGTCTTCTGAGCTACAGTATATCAGATAAAAGATAGACCGGATGTAAAACAAAAGGTTCGGGTGATTTTCACGCTAACGCCGCCGTCTCGACGTAAAACAGGAGCCCTCATTGGTCAATTCGCAATTAAATGCCTATGCCGAGCGGCAGAGCAGTCGTATCAAGGCAGAGTCACATTCAGGTTCAGACGTGTTACGTATTTCGTGTGCATCATTGCAATTTGATATTTCTTTGGACTTTTTCGTTTGTTATCTTATTAAGTTGTTGAGTTTTTCGTTGTTATTGTTATACCTTGTTATTGATTGTTATTGTTATCAACTGCTTGCCCAAAATGCCCAGTAGTACAGATACTGCCGATGAAGTTGTAAACTCCTGTAGTCCACCTAGGAAACGCTCTAAAAAAAGACACCTGAGTGCAGAAATGAAAGAGGTCATTTTGAATATATAAGATCGAGCGCGAGGAGAACGAGGCATCAACCATCAAAGAAATTGTTGTGAAGGTTTCTGACAAAGTTGGGGTGTGTCGCGCATCAGTGTTTAATGTGTTAAGACAATACAAAAATCACACCTTTTCTGAGCCAATGACCAGCAAACATCGCAAAAGTATTGTTAAATCATTGGATGAAGCTGATAAGCATGCGATTAGGAGGAAAGTGCATTAATTCTTCTTTAGGAATGAAATACCTACTATAGATAAAGTACTGCAGGAGGTAAATGGAGATACAACGTTGCCAAATTTCAAACGATCAACTTTCCATGCGTTACTGAAGCATTTAAATTTCAAATGGAAAAAACAGGGTCGTAATAGTTTACTACTGGATAGAGAAGAAATTGTGCTATGGAGGAGGGATTATTTAACAAAAATTGGGAAATACAGAAATCAAAACAGGAAGATTTATTACCTTGATGAAACGTGGGTAAACGCAGGACACACTACAAGTAAAGTATGGGTTGATGATTCTGTAACTTCATCCAGGAGGGCCTTTCTAGATGGACTGTCCACCGGATTAAAAAATCCAGCAGGTAAATACGAGTAATAGACAACAATCGGATGTTTTTCAAACCTTGAGAACAGGTTTTATACATTAATTCCAGGGGGCAGATAAAACATATTACAAGTAACAAAACTTTATAACTTTCGATAAAATGCGTGGATTTTTATTGTCATTTTCATTTGTTAGAACTTTTTTAAGCCATGTTTTTATGTGTTTTCGATATTTCAATAATTTTTTAATATAATCTTAAAATATGTCGAATATTATAAACTTAAAAAAAGTTACTAAGTTTTATATTGTGTACCGTTCCTAATATTTCTAATCATTTTAATTCATACTTTAAGCTTTATAAAGTTATAATTTGTTATTATTAATATTTTGCGCGTATTTCAGGTTCCTGATCATTCATTTTTTAAAGGTTTATAACTTTAAATTAAATTGTGAAGCGCTGAGTAATCATACGACGTTCAATATTCTTTCTTTCAATATGACTAAATAATCCCAATTATAGCAATCTGATACACATGTCTCAATGTTTTTTCGCTGAATGTGATGAAAACATTTGAAAAAGGTTCGCTTATTGAATAAATCTACACCAGTTAGTACTTCGATTTCCAGGTAAAGGGAAAAGGCTCATTATCTGCCATATTGGCAGTGAGGATGGATTTGTTGTTGACGGTCTGTGGTGCTTTGAGTCTAAGAAAACTGGAGATTACCACGAGGAAATGAATGGCGAATCGTTGAACAGTGGTTTTCAAAAATTTTACCGAACTTAGAGGAAAACGCAGTAATTGTGTTGGATAATGCGCCTTATCATTCTCGAAGAATGGAGAAGGTCCCAACAACGGCTTCAAGGAAAGTTGATGTTCAAAATTGGCTCCGCTCGAAAAATATCAACTTTGAAGAAGCATGCTGAAAGTACAATTATTAAGAATTGTCAAGGATCACAATGCGGAATATCAAAAATACGTCAAAATAAAACTGTGCTCCGTTACCTCCATACCATTGCGAGCTCAATCCCATTGAGCTCATATGGGCAGAGGTTAAAAATTATATAGCTAAGCACAATACAACTTTTAAATTTTGTGACCTCAAAGGACTTTTCAAAGAAGCACTAGAATTAATAACAGCGCAAAAATGGGAAAACTGTATTAAGCACGTGAAAGACAAAGTTGAAAAGAGAATGTGGGAACTGGACAATATTTTAGAGGAACAAGTCGAGCCATTCATTATTGACGTTGGTGCTTCAGGCAGTAGCGATGATGAAAGCTCATCAAGCTCATCTTTCCAATAAAAGATGTCGTTCATCAAATTCTGTAAGTTATAAGTAATTATAAAGCTACTGTATTTTTTAATTAATTATTGACATTTTTGAACCCATTTTGGCAAAACCTATTCAAGAATCTACTTTCTGACAATGTTCAACCATGCACATTTTTTTACGTTTTGAACGTTTTAATTTGGTTACATATTTACCTAGAAATCAAAAAAGATACTAATCAATATTCTAAAAGCAATTTTAAGAGATATACGATTATTTTTAATTTAGGCTAATTTAAACGCCATTTTGAGATTATATTCGACTGTATTTCACCACATCAGGCGGCATCCGAAGCTGGAAATCGAAGCGAAAATTTTGAAACCCTTATGTATATTTACATCATTATATATTTCTTACCCCACCCCCACATGAGCCTATATCCATCACCAATCGTATACACATCGAATTGTGCTAATTTACTACAAAGTTACGCCAAACAGCATCTACTATCTAAAATATGTACTGCGTGACTCTTAATACGTCCCTGCCGAATGTTACAGCGTTCGATGATCACGTGGTCTTGTTTATGTCCGGTCTATCTCTTATCTGAATATACTGTACATCTGTTTTCCATCTTCAGTTTTTTGTTTTATTTTTACCATTTTGTTTCAAATCATTATTTGAGGTAACATTCTGATCGACAATACTTTCATCTTTCTTGTGCTTCAATAATTGTTGCATTATTTAGGCAATCTAGGTCTATTAGGGCACTTAAATCACCGGTGTTATCTATTATTTCTGTAACAAAATCTGCATTACCTAGGTCAGGGCCGACATTTTCTTTAAGGGCTTCCTGAGCTTTAAAATACTCCTGTTGTAGATTGTTTATTACAAGAGTTATTCCGTCATTATCTGATGGACTAGATTTATTTTGAGACAGATCTAATGTTCTCGGATTACTGCCTTCTATAAGAACTTTGCTCAATATTTTGAAGCTTCATGAACTCTTATTCATTCTGAAAAGAAAAAGATTCTAGAAGCTACACCACTTTAGTTGAAATAATATATCAAAATTTACTTTATACATAAAATAATAATAGAAGAATTCACATAGATCTTAACGAATGTATAATTCAAATTAAAAATGATAAAAGTCAGAAAACTTAAAGAACCACTAGGTAAATACACAAACTAGTATACATATTATTATATGTTTCTGGACTTACCTGATGTATTTTGCTGCGCTTTTTAATAATTATTTAGTGTAAATTATATTAACTGGAGAAAACTACAGAGAAACCAGACACTGAAAAATGATGGTTAATAATAAGCATTGACAGCACGGACTTACGCAACATTCATACTGTTGAAGAGACAGCTGGAATTGCGCAGGTTTCATTTGCGAGTATTGTGGCACCATCAAGCAACGTAAGCTCAAACTGTGAACGGCAAATCGTAGATTTCAATTTGCATTAGATGACACTATAATCTCAATTTTTGAAAAAAGTAATAGGACTCATTTTCTTCCGCCACGACTGTACTTCGGCGCGTGCGCGCATCGACTGGATTCGGTAGAGGGCTTTCCTAGCTACCGAATGAGCGGCTGGTCAGTTGTCTCCGAGCACTTGGAGAGTCAGGACAGGCATTTTCGTGCCACGTGTTTCCATGAGTGGTGCAAGCCGAAAATGCAGCGTTAGTTAGAGCAGAGGTACGCGATTAAATTCTGTGTGAAACTCAGTAAATCTGCGACAGAGACGTTTGATATGATCAAGAAGGCTTATCCAGGTGTTGCTTTAGCAAGAAGTGATGTGTTTCGGTGGTACCAGGCCCTTTTGGAAGGCCGGGAAGAGGTCGCTAATGAAGACCGCGCTGGAAGACCTTCGACTTCGACAAACACCGATAATGTGACTCGTGTTCGCAAAGTTTTGAACTCAGACCGTCGACTAAGTATTCGTTTAATTGCCCAGATGTTAAATTTACCAAAATCTGTGGTTCATCACATTGTGACACAGCATTTGAACATGCGCAAGGTGTGCTCGAAGATGGTCCCAAAAGTGCTCACTGACGACCAGAAATTGCGGCGAGTGGAAGTGTGCCAAGAAAAATTGAACATGTGTGAAAGTGACCCCCAATTTTTGAATAACGTAATCACAGGTGACGAGCCGTGGATCTTTGAGTATGATCCCGAGACAAAGAGGCAATGTTCCGAGTGGCACACGACGGCGTCTCCTCGCCCATAAGAGGGAAGAATGAGCAAATCCAAAGTGAAAACGATGCTCATTGTCTTTTTTGACATCAAAGGCATCGTCCACCATGAATTTGTTCCTCCTGGACAAACTGTCAACGCCAAGTTTTACGTGAAAGTGCTCAGGAGACTCAAACGAAGGGTCATCGGGTCCGACAAGACATCGCAGCCGACTGGAAGCTGCACCACGACAACGCCCCACCGACTCACACCGCCTTTCTTGTGAACAGCTACCTAGGCCGGCATCCAAACGCTTCCGCAGCCGCCCTACAGCCCAGATGTGGCCCCCCCGGACTTCTTTTTGTTTCCTCGTCTGAAAAGCAAGCATTTTGAGACGACAGAGGGGATCCAAGCAGCATGCACCTGGGCTCTCAAGGCTATTCCGGAGAATGCCTTCCGTGACGCCTTCAATGCTTGGAAATCGCGGTGGCAGTGCTGCGTCGACGCAGAAGGACCCTATTTTGAAGTTTTTAAAGAATTGTAACGATTGGCTCAATATTTTTTTTAAATCGACTCAGTCCTATTACTTTCCGGACAAACCCTGTACGAGCTCCTAGTTTCCACATTAAATTAATAAACACTTGGTTTAATCACAAAATCCTATTTCTTCATTTATTGATTAGCGAAACGTAGTACGGTTTCCGGCAACAGCGATTCCACAGAAGATCTCCTAGCTTACGTCACGCAATTGTGGAGAAACTCATCCAGTCTTATGGTGAGGCTCATGTCGTTGCTCTTGGTATCACGAAAGTGCTCGATCCGCTGTGGCACGCTGCTCTCTTATACAACCTTCCATCCTATGGCCTCCCAGTGCAGATGGTTGGCCAACTTTCTTTCTAGCCGCAAGATATCCGTCGTAATTGACGGGTTCTCTCCTTCTTCCGCACGTCAACGCGGATGTACCCCAGGGATCGGCCTTGGCTCCAACACCGTTCCTATTAACGACCTCCTTTTCTGTACGATCAACTAAAGCCTCAGCTTTGCTGATGGAGTACCACTCAACATGCAGGAATTCAAAGCGACAAGCCGATCTCTGACGAGAGACTTGGAAGTAATCACTGCTTGAGACGCACAATCTTGTACAGTTCATCCTTTCAAAACACAGCACTGTACCTTGACGAACGAAAAGCGTCTTAGCGCTCATGCGGTTTCGATGGATGGGCCAGTTCTGCTAAACAGCCGTGCTTTTCGGCGTCAGTTCCTATGCTGAAAGCACACGTAATGATGTGACATAAAGAGCGAACGGCAAACGGCATCCCTTTTTATTGCTTGATCAGAATATAACATTATATCGGGATGCGCGGGGCGTGAGGCTTATATTTCTTCTTCTCTATTTCCCTTTGGCTTTACGGACACTGACTATACCCAATGCTCTCCCGCCCGTTGTGTATGTTTCGATTTCCGAGGGATTTTCTACGGGCCTTGGTCGTATATTACAAATCAGCCTTAGCAGAGGCACGAGGAAAATACCATTGGAAAATTCTATACAGGACGTATGATTTTTTATGGTATACAGGTTGAGAAGTTTTAAATATATACAGGCATATTAACAAAAACATTAATTACATGGATACCTTTATTATAAATAGATTATATACTAAGTGACATATAAATCCGAACACCCAGTTTAAATGATTTTATTTTAATAAAAGTTGGTGAATGTATTATCTTACTGTAAATAACAAGTGAAAAAATTTTCAGCCTTATCAGTTGGACATTCCGGTTTTTATACTGCTTTTTTTTAATTCACTAACGCTCTAAAAATGAATATTTCAGCCGCAGTGAAGAATCAACGTTGGCGGATTTTGGTTCTTGACATCCTTTACGATCGGTTACGATGCCTAGAGTACGGAGACCTGTACGATTTCGTCAACTTAGTGAGTTTGATAGGGGCCGTATAGTGGGACTTCGGGAAGCTGGACTTTCTTTTCGGGCAATTGCAGTTAGAGTGCAAAGAAGTGTAGACACTGTGGTTAGGTGTTGTCAGGCATGGCTTCGAGAAGGCCGTACGCAAAGAGCAAGGGGCACTGGACGCCGCCGTAGAACAACAGACCGTGAAGATCGCCGCCTAAGATTATTGGCCTTAAGGGACCGTTTCTCCACTACCAGGTCCATTGCAAATGAATGGTTTGCAGAACACGGAAGACCTATTGGCTTGCGAAGTGTTTACCGACGAATGAGAAGTTTTGGCTTGTTTTCATACCGGCCACACTGGGTCCTCCCTTTAACTCGAGAACACCGACGTAATCGCCTTGAGTGGTGCAGACAACGGTTACTCTGGGATCAGGAATGGAAGAGTATTGTCTTTAGTGACGAGTCTCGATTTTGTTTAGGCATGCACGATGGTCGTGCCAGGGTTAGAAGGCGACGTGGTGAAAGGAGGAATCCACAGTTTTTTGTTGAAAGACATGTTCATCACACTGTTGGAGTTATGGTTTGGGGTGCTATAGCTTATGGTTCCAGGTCACCTTTAATCTTCATCAGAGGTAACATGAACGCGCAGCGTTATATCCACGAAGTTCTAGAACCCCATCTTTTACCCTATCTTGACACCCTGGCAGATCCAACTTTCCAACAAGATAATGCCCGACCACATGTTGCAAGAGTCACAATAGACTTTTTTCAACAGAATGATGTCACATTGTTACCATGGCCACCAAGATCTCCCGACTTATCCCCAATTGAGCACGTGTGGGATATTATGGGTAGGAGATTGCTCAATTTGCAACGTCCTCCTCAGACTCTAGAAGCACTTCGAGAGGAGTTGGTGGTTGCCTGGAATGAGATCCCACAGGAGGACATTGACCACCTGAAGAAGCAGGCCAGGCGCGGTGGAGAATGCGTAGCACATCAGGGTGCACCACACATTATTAAGTCAAATAGGGCTTTAAAAAGCAGGGCAAGTCATTTTGTTTTTATCAGGTACTTAATTATGCTTCTTAAGTAAGTTATACAAGAATTTTATTAAAGTAAAACAATTTAACTGGTTGTTCTGATTTATATGTCCTTATATACTGATTTTGAAAGCATTACATTCGGAATTATAGTTCAATGAAAATTTTTTTTGTTTTTTTTTTGGCTTTTTATTGTCCTGAAGAAATCACCTCTTTTCTGTTTTTTGTTCTGTTATTTTGTTTTATCTTAGGAACTGTAATATTCTTAACTGTTTAGGCATAAAGTTATTATTACTTATTAGTAGATGTCTTATGGGGATTCGGTCTCAAAACTTCCAAAATCCGCCACCAGAGGCGCTGGCGTCGCGCGCCATTGACAGGTTGTTGGACGGAATCTGTAATCATGAGTTGGGGATTCCGCCGCTAGATGGCGCTGTCAAACCAAACGGAATCTGTGTGTCATTGGACACCTGTCATGCGTCATTGGGCATCTCACGCATAGATGGCGTTACACGTCATCTGTCATACGTCATTGGACACCTGTCATTGATGGGTTGGGCATCTCGCGCATAGATGGCGCCGATTTGTTTGGCGCTGTACAAACCAAACGGAATCTATGTGTCATTGGACAGCTGCCATTGATGGGTTGGGCATCTCGCGCATAGATGGCGCCGATGTCGCACCTGTCTGGTGTTGGCGTGGATTACGGGGGGCATTCAGAACGTGTATACAGGGGTGCATCGAAAAATAGCGGATCGATGGACCGACGGTATATCGTTAAATCGTATATAGCAAGGCGTGACCTAAATAGCGTGGTGGGCTCCTCT